TTTCCTTAAAAAAAAAAAAAAAAAAGCCATAAATCTCTCTCACTGCCCTTGGGCATGGCTTAGATTTCTCCTTACCTATTTCCAAAGAGAAAACAGTAAGAGACTGCAGACAGCTGCAACCGAGAGTGACGGAACTGTCAATTTCTCGCAGAATTCTTTTCTAGTATGGCTGTTCTCTATGTATTATTAATCTGTATTTATATTTAACTCCAGCTATTAGTCGGCCTCTCCCAGCCACTGAGCCATTTGCACAGGAGAGGAGAGAGAGAGAGAGAGAGACAAGGGTGCTATTATTAGGCATCCCTGTGTGTGATGAGGGTGGAGACAATTAAATAACACCATTTTGCTTTGAAAATGACAGTGAATGTTTGGGGTGTACAACTCAGGGCTGGGTAACATTTGATCAGTAAGAGAAACAAGTTAAAGCAATAGACAGATCTGGATAAAACCATCACTACTATAGCAAAGAAACCCTCAAATACGTATCCACATGCAATGACTTTAAGAGCACCATGTGTCAGATGATGAAAGACATTTCTGTAAATAATAAATTCTGTTCTAACACTGGAAAAACTGCAATGGTTGCAGAAGCAGTGATATGTTCTTTGTGCTGTAATAAGTTAATCAGATAAGAATACAGATTAGCTGGAGATGAACTCTAAGACAACTGAATCTGAAATTATGAAGCTAAGAATTCCTCCACCTGGAAGCAGAGCATGTTCTTCTAGGCCTGTGCCACCTTTCTCTCACTGGCCCGAGAGCCTAATCATCCAGATTCTTTCTAGCTTGGAGACCATGGCCGTGTTACTTTTACCCTCCAGACACAGGGCAAGTGCATTCACAGGCCCCAGAGGGAGAAAAGTTGGTTCATGATTAGTGTAGATCCCAAAATACTTGGCCTGCAAAAGTAAAAAAAAGGTGATCAATTCTTTTTTCTCCCTCCATGGCATGAAAAGAAAATTTACTCTTCTAGAATAGGAGGAATTACTATTAGCCAAGGGAGTCTGGAGAAGTTAAGACTCCTTCTTGGAAAAATCTTTAGAAGAGGGACCAGCAGATGGCGTAATGGCTATGAAACTGGACTCCCATGTAGTCAACCACAGTTTGAGTCCTGAACCTGGTGGCTTAAACTCACGCCAGGCACATGTGCATGTGTACCCAAATCCCGCCCGAGAGGAGAATAGAGAAGAAGGGATTGTGGCGTGGCCATCCCCCCAGGGGGTGTTTCTCACTTTCTGTCTCTCTGTCTTCCTGGTGAGTCACACGCCTTATAGCAAAAAACCTCTCCAAAAAAAAAAAAAAATCTTTAGAAGAAATTCTGGAAGATTTGTTGTACAGAAAATTGGGCAAAATTTAACTGCCAGGTCCCTTGGTTTCAGATAACTGTCTCAGCTTAGAGGTCTGATGAGACTCCTAATCAACGTACCTTTTATTGAGAGAAGTTATCTTTTTGCTTTTGCATTATTCTTACCTCCAATTTGCAGTGTTATTCTCTTATCAAATCTTGTTGCTTTCTTAAAACAACCAAATTGTTCCTGGCTTTTTTTAAAAAGTAAGTCCTTGCTTGACAACTTGGGTTATACTAGTCTATAACTCATTGTTTCTCTAGGTTATAAGTTACCATACAATATTATTTTTTTTAACAGACTTTTGTCTTGGGACCAGCAGTTAGCGTAATGGCTATGTCGCTGGACTCCCATGTAGTCGACCACGGTTTGCGTCCTGGACCCAGTGGCTTAAAACTCATGCTGGGCACGTGTGTATGCGTGCCCAAGATCCTGAGAGGAGAATGGAGAAGGGATTGCGGTGTGGCCATCTCCCTTGGGGGGTGATTTCTCGCTGTCTCTCTGTCTCTGTCTGTCTGGGAAGCACACGCGTCCTATAGCAAAAACCTCTAAAAAAAAAAAAGAGGATTTTGTCTTAGGGTGTGTGCCCTTGCAAGAGAAAGAGAGAGAGAGAGAGAGAGAGAGAGAGAGAAAGAAAGTAGTATCACAGTGAGAGGGAAAGTGAGAAATTATCCCTGGGGGATGGCCATACTGCAATCCCTTCTCCTCCATTCTCTTCCTGGGATCTTGGACATGCACACACACATGCCCAGAATGAGTTTGAAGCCACCCAGTCTGGGACTTGAACCGTGGTCGGACAGGTGGGAGTCCAACAATGTTACCGCTATGCCATCTGCTGGTTCCACTATACATTATTTTTTGCATTTCAAAATTAATGTTATAAAAAATAATATATTGTGGGATTTTTCTAGGTCAGATCAAATTGCTAAATGTTGCTCTTAGAGGATAGAATTTTGTATCAGATGGAGTCCACAATTTTAAGCCAAATGGAAAACAGTGTAGAGAAAAAAAATCTGGTTCTTTGCAGGGCTTCCCAGCATTTTTCATATGATGGTACATTTAGAAAATGCTAATATCTGTAAAACACTCTAGGGAAAAATGGAAGAGGGTGCCAATGACCCAGCTCCCTACCTCAGGGCTTGGGCTGCTATGAGGAATAAAGAAATCAATAACTTGGCACACCTTGGACCTTTTTTGCCACACAGCGGTTAAGTTCTAAAGTGAAGCAAAATTTTCCTATGGATTAATATTCATTATTGAGGGGAATGGGCTCATCTTATGCTGATGTATTGAACAAAAAGGCCAAATATTAGATCTTTAAAAAGGTTTAAAAAAAGGTTCCTAAAAAAATGATATGAGGAAGAAAATGTTTTTCTTAGAAGATTATACTTAACAAGAAATATAAGACAGAAATTAATCTCTCCCAGTAATACATAGAGAAATACATCCTATTTTACTTTACTATGCAATGTTAACAATGGACAACTCAAACTTGATCCATACTGTGTGCAACATCATCGAATGGTCTTATGAAGTAAAGACAAACAGTTCTCTAATTTACCAGTATGCTGAGTCATTCTACACTTTCATCCCAGTACAGGACAATAAGATGATGCTAGCAAAAAGTCAATAATTGGAATGCAAAGGTTTCTGGTTGGGAAACATTAGGGGATCAAGAGGCTGACACAACCTTACAGAGTAACGGTAATATTTATGTGGAGAATATGAATAGCTGGGAAAGCAAAAGGAACTCAAGGTTTCAGGGTCTTAGGGCTTCGACTACGCAGAATCTCTGCAATTCAGTGCCTTTTGTGGGGTCAGGGAGTATCCAAAGAGCTAGAAAATGAGTAAACATAAATTGTTTAAGGAGAGGAACTATGTATCTTTAAAAAAAAAAAAACAAACACTTAAATCCAAAAGCTTTCACCCTTTGCTTACAGAACACTGGTGATGGGATAACTACGTCAGCAGGCCTTGAGCAATTACACCAACAGATAAGAGAGATCACAACAAGTATTATTCAGGCTGTGAAGTTTACAACAAAGGAATAAAGGGACACAGCATTCTATAAAGATTTTAAACTCTCATAATATATAAATTTAGTTTAAAAATAACTTAATTGAAGCCATTACCTTATCAAAAAACCTACTAAGCTTGACAGCATTGGAAGAACCTGCAGCTAAGTACCGTGGATTTGTGCAGTCCTAGAAAATAAAACATAAGATCCAGAATGCAAAGTTAGGAAATACAAGGTCTTTGTTAGTCATAACTGTTCCTGTTGCACACTTCTGTAGTAAAATATTAGGCATATAACATTCTCATAAAATACTTAAGTATTTCCAAATTATGATGCACAAAGTATTGAGGACAGTATTAAAGAGGAGATAAAGCTACTTATTCTGTTCTTTAAGTGACTTTAGAGTATAATGAATCAATGTATTTATCATCAAATAATTCATCAAAAAAGATGGGATTTCTAATATTTTATAATAACAAAATCAAGGTACAAATCCAGTGGTCTACCTACATTTAACCTGTAAACCAGAAATAGTCATTAAAAACTGAACATTTCGAGGCCACTAGGTGGAATGGTGGTTAAGGTGCTGAACTCCCACATGGTGGACAGTGGTTTGAGTCCCAAACCTGGTGGCTTAAAACTCACCCTGTGGGGACCAGAAGTTAGCATAATGGCTATGTCGCAGGACTCCCATATAGTCGACCGTGGTTCACGTCCCGGACCTGGTGGCTTAAAGCTCACGCCAGGCGTGTGTGCGTGTGTGCCCAAGATCCCGAGAGGAGAATGGAGGAGAAGGGATTGTGGCATGGCCATCCCCCCTGGGGGGGGCGATTTCTCGCTTTCTAGCTCTCTGTCTGGCGAGTGTGTGTGTGCCCAAGATCCCGAGAGGAGAATGGAGGAGAAGGGATTGTGGCATGGCCATCCTCCCTGGGGGGGCGATTTCTCGCTTTCTAGCTGTCTGGCGAGCGCACGCGCCCTATAGCAAAAACCTCTCAAAAAAAACCCCAAAAAACAAACAAATAAAAAAACAACCTCACCCTGTGTGTGCGTGCATGCCCAGAATTCCAGGAGACTGGAGGGGAAAGGACTGTAAAGTATGGCCATTCTCTCAAGGAGAGGTGGGAGGGTGATTTTTCACTTTCCCTCTCACCCACTCTCTTTCTTTGTCTCTCCGGCCAGTGCATAATGCCCTATGGCAAAAACCTAAAAACAAATACAAAATAATAACAACACAAAAATGTGAATATTTCACTTTTTAGGACTACTTACCACTGTCAACTAAGTACTACGTAGATCACATAAACAGTGGGAAGCAAGATAATAAGGATTTAGAAGAGCAAAGAATACACAGAACAGTTAATAGGGACTTCTCACTCACTGGATATAAGTTACCGTCTCTTGGTAAGCCATAAATACATACCATTTTTGATCGTAAACACATATATATTACCATCATTTAATAGATATTTTTAAAATAGGGGGAAAACTGAGCCCAGAAGAGACAACATGTTCTGGAACATTAAATCACACAATAATTTTGCAAAGTCCTTAAAAGGCTTGCTATCCTCTTAGAACTCCAGCGCTGCGCTGTCTTCGCTTGTCACCGTCGATTTGCCACCTCAAAAGAGAGTACTTAGATGTTTACCTTAAATGCCACCTAAAACCAAACGATGAGGGTAGCACGTAGGCTCCTTTGCCAGGATTATATTTGTCTTTCTGCTATAGACCCTCCCCTGAGCAATGACTGAAATTAGTGCTGTCACATTTATTCTGTTTTGTAATGTCTAGGCCACATGACTGTTTTCTAATAAATTTGGTAACAATCACCTATTTTAGCCATATGCAACACTTCAAGGCTAACATTTTAAAAATTGGCTAGAAACTATAAAATACTCCCAAAACCACAGAAAAATAGACCACAAGACATTTTTCAGAGGTCACAGAATACTAGCAAAATTGGGGTCTTTGAAGCTAGCAAGTTCTGAATGTATCTGTGTCAGTATTTCTAGATCATGTAAATTTGGTTAGCTTCCTAAACCTTTTAAATTGAGCTTGGCTTATTCTTTTTCTTTCTCTTTTTCTTCTTTTCTTTTTCTTTTTTTTTTTTTTTTAATTTCTAGCAGGTGTATGTGTTCGTTAGAGCGGGAGAGAGGGAGAGAGAGAAAAAGCACCCTATGATGGGGCATGATCACACTGCAATCTCTTTTCCTCAATTTCTCTATCCTGTCAAGATTTTGGGCACAAATGCACATGTGTCCAGTATGTTTTTCAAGGTGCTAGGGCTGGCATTTAAACTGTGGTCAGCAATGTAGGATCCTATTTCCTTAACCACTAGGCATGGGGCCAGTCCAGGCATATTCATTTTTGAAATGAGTATAACAATATTTAGTCCATAGAATTTTTCCCTAAAATTTATTCATTTTATCTATGAGAGAGAGAGAAAGCGAGAGAGAAAGACAGTACCCCTAACAAGGTTTTCATAGTCTGATCCACCCTCAGCATCTAGCCAACCATGGAGCATGGGAAATATGCGTCTGGCAGACGCAGGGAGGCCTCTGGACTTGAACCAGGAACCTTCCCATGTTTGATCATCTTGTAGAGTGCTGTGTTTTACTGCTGTGCCACCATCTGCCCCTGATAGGATTTTTGTAAAACTAGTTGAAATAATGTATATTTGGGACAGAGCAGGTCCTGATATTAGTTCCCTTCTCACCTCATTCTAAGAAAATGCTACCAGATTGAACTTTTAAGCAAAAAACACTCGACATAAAAAAGATAATTCCATACATGGATTAAATATATCATTAAACAAACTGTTGCATTTGAAATGTTGGAACACATTTGTACAGCAGTTGGGGCATATAAGAAACAGACCTTGGACCTATGGAAGAAATGTTTTACAAAATGGATATTGATTATTATTCATCATTATGTCAAAAGATTTCAGAGATGATTTTAAACAGAGTTAAAGTACTAAATATAAAAACTAAATCAAATGGCTAACAAACAGCCCTCCTCCCCCACATTCTAGGGCTCCACAATTTCAGGTTGACTAGGCTAGAGAAACCCTATGATTTTTAGAATTAGAGGGCAAAGCCTGAACATTAATAACCCTAAATAGTTTGTCTGAGGCTTAAGAAAGGAGAAGATGCTTAAAGGAAGATGCTTCAATATGATTAGTTTGAAGTAAACACATAACAGAAAAATTTGTATTGGACACAGAAGCCTAACAAAAAAAATTTTAAAATAAGGAATCTTTTATTTATAATTTAAATAATGTGCATTTATTCAAATTATAATTTTGATTCTATTTGAGGTATACATTTGTTATATTCTTATTTTTCTATAGTTTTAAATAAACTCATATGGCAACCAATGATGCACTAACATTATGTGAGTTTTTATTTGAGGTTTCATATTTACTTGCTGAGTCTTTTTTTTCTTCTTGAAGTTCTCTTATGCTTAATTATCCTCATTTTTTATTCCTGGTATTCTTGTGACCCTCTTCTATTGCTGGGGCTGTGTTCTTTCAGCTGTGTGCTGATAAAGGCCAAACACATGAATATTTGAATGCTTTGGAGACTATGCGTGCTAAAAATCCCACTACTTACAGAGGAATAACATTTATCGAGGTGATTTGCCAGACAAATCCATAAGCACTGGAAAAAAATATATTCAGAAATATATGAAAAGTAAGCAGTGGAGGGACCATCAGATGGTGTCATGGTTATGTTGCTAGACTCCCACATAGTCGACTATGGTTTGAGTCCCAGTCCCAACGACTTGAAAATTATGCCATGCATGTATGTGTGTGTGCCCAAGATCCTGGGAATGGAAGAGAATGAATTGTGGTGTGGCCATTCCCCCAGGGGGTGATTTCTTGCTTTCTGTCTCTCTGGCAAATGCACACATGCTATATAAAAATCTTTCTCTCTGGGAACCAGAAGTTAGCGTAATGGCTATGTCGCTGGACTCCCATGTGGTCGACCGCGGTTTGTGTCCCAGACCCGGTGGCTTAGAACTCACGCCGGGCGCGTGTGCATGTGTGCCCAAGATTCCGGGAGGAGAAGGGATTGCGGCGTGACCATCCCCCTTGGGGGGTGATTTCTCGCTTTCTGTCTCTCTGTCTCTCTCCGTCTGGCGAGTGCACGCGCCCTATAGCAAAAACCTCTCAAAAAAAAAAAAATCTTTCTCTCAAAAAAAAAGTAAGCAGTGGAACAACTGAAGCATATTCAATAGTAAATTTCCCTTTCAAACAAAGTAACCTCAGCACTTCTTCCACAAAGACATACATCTAAATAATATGGGAGGAATCTTTTGGAATATCATGGTATAGTGCTGACTATTTGAGATAGCTACATCAGCACCCTCCACTGAAAAGCAGAATGTAAAAACACTGGACTAGCAGGTAGAGGCTCACAGTTGTGGAAAAGGAGGTGGGCTGAACTAAGCAGTGTTCACAAATGGTGAATTACTGAGTAAGAGTATCACAATCACTTAAGTTTTCTGAAAAATTACAGAGTTTTGGTCTTCCTCTCAGACCTTATAAATAAAAAGCTCTAGATATGGAACAGTTATTTCGAATTTTTCATAGATTATGTTAGTAGTATAAGTATACAGTCAGGTTTGGGTAGCTATTGGTCCAGAAATCTTTTTTTTTTTTTTAGAGATTTTTGCCTTAGGATAGATATACTTGACAGAGACAGAGAAAGAGAGATGGTGAGAGGGAAAGTGAGAAATCATCCCCTGGGGGCACAGTCACACTGCATTCCCTCCCGCTCCATTCTCCTCCCAGAATCTTGGGCACACATGCTCACGCACCAGGTGCGATTCTCAAGCTAACAGGTCAGGGACTTGAACCGTGGTCAGCCATACAGGAGTCCAGCAACATGACTGCTATGCTACCTACTGGCCCCAGTCTTATTTTTAAGAGTTCTTTCAGTTCCGCAATTCGAAATGTTTAGTTGAAGGACAAATGAGTAGAAAGTAGGTTTAACTGCAAAGCACAAGCTCTGGAGTCTGAGTGTCTTATTTGACCTATGTTAACTTAACCTAGTTATCTCTTTCTCTACTTCCTGTCTTCATCTTTAAAACAGGGGTAATAATAACATCTACCTTATAGAGTTGATGTAAAGATGATGCACGTAAGATACTGTATATAAAGCACTAGATGAGTGTTTGGCATATAATAAGTGCTCAATAAATGCTATTACTAAACCACTACTACTGCATATGTGGAATGTCAGTGCACTGAGTATGCTGCAGAAATCCAACTTGTGAATAGTAACATAACCATGACTGAAGTTACTGTCTAGGATCCTTCTCTGCGCATCACAAATTGGCTTATAGGGAAACTGTTTCTTCACCTTTTTACAAGGTTCTATTGCAAAAAAGTATTCAAACCCCTAAGTTTACTTAAAGTAGTCCTTATGGAGCACTCCTAGTTAGAGTTTGTAATTTTCTCATGTATCTGTTTGGTTGCCCTTTAAGGTAAATTTTATAGTTTAAGGAGCTAGGAGGCTTTTCTAAAGTAAGAATAATCACAGTATAGTATCAATTTATTTTGATTTTGGTGTGATTTTTAGAAATCTCAAAAAAAAAAAAGACCGTGATTTGCATTATTCATAAAATAAAGTTTGGGGACCAGCACATGTTGTGGTAGTTAAAGTGCTGGACTCTCACTTGGCCGACCATGTTTTATGTTCCAGACCCAGTGGCTTGAAACTCATGCCAGGCGTGTGTGCGCACATGCCTAAAATCCTGAGAGGAGAATGGAGAAGAAGGGACTGCATGGTATTCATCCCTCTCGAGATGTGATTTCTCGTTCTCTGTCTCTCCAGCAAGTGCACACACCCTACTGCAAAAATCTCTTAAAAAAAAGTTTGAACATCCCAACAGAACAGGATGCAAGGCCAAAGTTACTGTGTCTATCTGAGAGTCTAGATTTGCTGTTTACAATCTTGACTACATTTTGGATTAGAACTCAGCCTGACTTCAAGCATAAAGCTTCTTTCACTAGAATATATGACTTGAATGTAAGTATTTGGTTTTGCCTTTACCTGATAATAATAGAAACATGCATTCATGAAAATACATACCAAGTTAATCTCTTCTGCATTGAAATCCTCAGCCAGGAAAGCAGTCCTAGTTAAAACTTCATGGCGTTTGCTTTCATGAATTTGGTCCAGTTTAGTACCTATTACCAACAGTGGGATTTGGTTATCAGCAAACTGCTCCCGATCATAATCCCTGTGATAAAGTATAATAAAAAGATGAACAGAATTTACCTTCTGATCTGGATTTAAATGCAACTTGTTTTATACTATTTTTTTTGGTGAATAGCTGATTTCTGTTTACAGTCACCTGTAAGCAGTGGAGGATCAGCAGATGGCATAATGGTTACGTTGCTGGACTCCCACATAGTCGACAATGGTTCGAGTCCCAGACCCAACAACTTGAAACTCATGCCAGGCACATATGTGCGTGTACCCAAGATCCTAAGAATGGAAGAGAACCTACTTTTATAAACCTACTTTTCTCCCAATTTCTTCCATCTACATGGTCATTTTTCAGTACGTACTGAGTTTTAACTATTAATCTCAAATTTTGTTTCCATGTGTCTTTATTGACCACTTGCATAATAAGCCTACCAAGGATACCTTAGTCAGTTGACTTGACTTTTCCCAAAGCTCTATAATCTAAACTAATAGCTCAGGAATTTTTCAGTGTAGAAGCAGATAGTGGATTTACACCTCAATGCAGAGAAACCTCAGAAGTCTAGCAGGCTCAAGCTTTGTACCAGAGGGGAAAAGCAAGCTTCTGAGTACCTTTTTGGGGTATGGATAAGATTTATTTCTACCATACACATTTCTCTCCATATGAAGTAAAGAAAATAGATCATTTCAGGAAAGTAAGAAATATGAAAGCCAAAGGCTAGACTATATCAAATGTAGGTGATATAGTAGCCTTAGGAAAGATGGATTAGATAAATGGAAATAGGAGGAAACAACTGAGATGCAAAATGAATAATAAAAGAGAAACAGTTAAGCTCAAATAGCTATTTTTCCTGACAGGAGAGCTATGTGAGACAGAAGGCAAGTAAGAGTAAGAGTCATTTAGTTATAGGGACCTTGGGAACTGTCAATTACAATCCTTGTTTTCCCTATATTAATCTAGAGGATAGAGTGGCGATGTAAATGATACTTATTACTGGCTGGAACTCAGAATTCACTGTTGCTAATTTCTATTTATATAATAAATATAAAACAGATTTGGATTTCTGACACATTATAAGCTCAATTTACTACAGTTAGCAACATCTTGGTGGTGAACAATTTATGACAGAAAATCAATATTGCGTAATCCAAACAATAAGACCCACCTGAGCATGCTCCCCACTTCCTTTGTCGGTACTTTTCCTTTTCTTTGAGTAATCTAAATTGGGCCAGGGAATAAACCTTATGCCCTTCACAATAATTTTACAGAGCCTCAGCTACTGCTCAACCTTGGACAACTGTTTCGAATTTTATAATCTCCCATCTCATAAACATATTATCATTCTATTTATTGTACCAAAGACAATAGAAGACATGGTATCCAAAGCTGAAGTATGCTTTATTAGAGAATAAAGTTTTCAGAGTATTCTCCTTTAAAACTGTTTCCTTTTCCTATATTTACTAATCCCATCTCACATATGCATATTTGTATATATTCTTTTTGACACACATACATCTCCGTGACTTCCTGTCATATATAATGTCTTGCATATTACTACATATAAGACATATAGTTTTTTTCTTTTTTAAATTTCATTTTCTTTTATACATTTTATCACATTATTTAGCTTACAAAATAAATATTTCAACAGGTGAACATCTCTCCCCAGTACAGTTGATAAAATTATATCTTCAACAGATAATACCACATTTCTTTGTCCCATTAATGCTTTGCCTCCCTATTTTTCTTCTAAATGTTCTTCCTTAGACCCTCCTCTTTCATACACACTATACCTCATATTTATATCTATATACTGTGTTTCTATAT